GGCCAGTTTGTAGATGGCCACCAGATCCCCTTTCAGCCTTCTCTTGTGGAGGCCGAACAGGTTCAGGTCCCGTAGCCTCCGTTCATATGGCCTGCCTTGCTGCCCCCTGATCATGCGAGTGGCCCTCCTCTGGACCCTCTTGATGCTGTCCACATCCCTCCTGAAGTGCGGCGCCCAGAACTGGACTCAGTACTCCAGCTGTGGCCTGACCAGTGTCACATAGAAGGGGAGGATCACCTCCTTGGACCTGCTCGTGATGCATCTGTGGATGTATGACATGGTGCGGTTAGCCTTCCTGACTGCGTCCCCACATTGGCGGCCCATGTTCATTTTGGAATCTATAATAACACCAAGATCCTTTTCTGCCTCTGTGCTGACTAGAAGGGAGTTCCCCAGCCTGTAGGTATGCTGCTGGTTCTTCCTCCCCAGGTGCAGCACCTTGCACTTGTCAGCGTTGAAACCCATCCTGTTCTCATCTGCCTATCCCTGTAACCTGTCCAGATCTAGTGGTAGCCTGTCCCTCTCCTCTAGCGTGCCCACTTCTCCCCACATCTTGGTGTCATCTGCGAATTTGAACAAGGTGCTTTTCACCCCCTTGTCCAAGTCGCTGATGAAGATGTTGAACAGTGCAGGCCCGAGGACCGAGCCCTGGGGGACCCCACTGCCCACATCTCTCCAGGTTGAAAAAGACCCATCCACCACCACTCTCTGGGTGCAACCCTCCAGCCAATTTGCGACCCATCTAACTCTGTAGGCATCAACACCAAAGTCGCCGAATTTTTTAATGAGAATGGGGTGAGAGACAGTGTCAAAGGCCTTCCTAAAGCCCAGAAAGACTATGTCCACTGCAACACCTGCGTCCAAGGATTTTGTGACCCGGTTCTAGAAGGCCACCAGGTTGGTCTGACAGGATCTGCCTCGAATGAACCCATGTTGGTTGCCCTTACGCATGATCTCCCCTGCTGGTCCCTCGCAGATGTGCTCCTGGATAATTTTCTCAAAGAGCTTCCCCAGGACCAAGGTAAGACTAACGGGCCTGTAGTTTCCTGGGTCCTTCTTCCTCCCTTTTTTGAAAATGGGAACCACATTGGCCCTTTTCCAGTCCTCCCGTACCTCGCCAGATCACCTTGAGTGCTCATAAAGCTGTGCCAGGGGTCCCGCAATGACCTCTGCCAATTCCCTCAGCACTCTGGGGTGGAGATCTTCAGGACCTGCTGATTTGTATACGTCTAGACCCACCAGAAGTTCCCTGACTAGGTCCTCACTGACCCTGGGCCTGGCAGCACCTCCCCTGGGTCCGTCAGGGATCCCGGTGTGGTGGATGCCCCAGTCCTTGCTCAAAAAGATGGAGGCAAAGAAATTGTTAAAGAGGTTAGCTTTGGCGTCTGATGTCACCACCAGATTTCCTAGCGTATCCTGCAGAGGCCCTACGTTACCGGGTACCTTTTACCCTCTATGTATTTAAAAAAGGACTTCTTGTTTATCGTTGATCCGGGTCACTAGTCCCAGTTTCATCTCTGCCTTAGCCTTCCTAACAGCCCCCCACAGTCTTGAGCAATGGAGGTATAATCCTCCTTGGTGATGGCCTCTCCCTTCCATTGGATATACACCTCCTTTTTTAGCATTATGTTCCTGGATGCTTTTGGTGAGCCATGGGGACTTTTGACACTCTTGCCCCCTTTGATCTGCTTTGGGATTGTCACCCTTTGGGCTTGGAGGATCATCTCCTTAAGGAATGACCACTCTTCTTGGACTCCCAACTCCCCTCCCCTCCAGGACCTCAGTGCCTCCCTGACTAGTCTCCTTACTTCATTGAAATCCACCCTCCTGAAGTCTAGGGCTGGTGCCTTTGACACCCTGCACTGGATGGTGAACTCCAGTAGGCAATGGTTGCTATCACCCAGGTGGTCGAGAACCCGCAGTCAACTCACCAGATCGTCGCCCATGGCCAGGACCATGTCCAACAAGGCATTTCCCCTGGTGAGACCGTGCACCTCCTGGGTTAGATGGAGGTCCTGTAACTTGCCTAGAAACCTACATGAGCAGCCTGACTGACTGCTCTTCCCAGCAGATATCCGGAGAGTTTAGGTCACCCATGATGACATCCCTTCACCTAACTGCCTCCGCAAGCTGACCTGAGAATTCCCAGTCCAGCTCTTCCCCCTGGTTAGGTGGCCTGTAGTAAATCCCTACCATTAAGTCCCTTTCCTCCCAACCCCCTTGTATTCAGACCCAGAGCACTTCAGTCTGCCCCTCCTCTGACCCAGTGCTGTTTGCTGAGGATGTGTATTGCTCTTTGACGTAGAATGCCACACCCCCGCCTTTCCTCCCTGTTTTATTCCTGATGTACAGCCTATAGCCCTTGATGTTGACCACCCAGTCATGCATTGGATCCCACCAAGTTTCAGTGAGCCCCACTATGTTTGGGTTTGTGTTAGCTAGCAGGAGGGCAAGTTCCTTCTGCTTGTTCCCCATACTACGAGCATTAGTGTAGAGGCATTTAAGGCCTCCTGGAGGTGTATTCTCCGCCCCCCTAATCCCCGGACTATCTGAGCCCCTGTCTCTTACCTGGGTATTTCTTGGGCTTGGTGCTTGTCTTGGCTGGGCTGTTCTTGTGGGTGGCTCTTGGTCCAGTGTTCCGTGGCTCCCTCTGTCCTCATCTTCCCCTTCCCCCAACAAGCATTAAGAGAATGAAATTATACAAGTACTTTGCATGAGTGTTAATTTGACACATGGATATGAAATATCTTGCATATATAAGCCTGGAAATTTTAGAGATGTGAACATTGTAGAAGGACTCTTAATTCAAAATAATCTTCATTCATATGAAGATGAAGTGTTCTTCATTCTGAATACTCGATATTTTGTCAGTTAGTACTAGTGTACGCTTCCTGTAAAGGACTTTTGAGAATACTTTCCCTGTACTTTTTCATTTCTGTGGCAAGAGGTTGAATTTTCATAATGAGAAGGAAGTTTATTGGGATTGATATTTTGAAACTTAAGCCTTAAACTTGTCAGAGTTGGGATTTTTCCTTTCCAAGAAAAATGTTAAACCGGCATTTACTTTATCAGAATGAATTTGATTTGTATTTAATCTCAGTATAGCTAAATATGCTTAACATTTTTTTCTGCCTTCCAGAAGGAAGAAAACTGAAGGTACCTATGACTTGCCTTACTGGAATCGTGCAGGTAACTAAATGGCCGGAACATTCTTTAATACAACCATCAATTAAAATGTACATTTCAGTCTACAGTAACATATCTTTGCCTCCATTGTAATGAGCTAAGAGACTGTTCTCTGCAATTGGTGATTATAAGCATTGGTGTATTAAATTCTGAATTTACCTGCAATTTAGACTTGTTACTTCTGTTTCTGTGTTTTGGACTTAAAGATAGAGGCCTGTCCAAAGTACTCTATTAAATCTATTTCAGGATCTTTGAATACCAACTTGCAATAATTTTTTCCCTTAAAAACAAGAAAAATAGAACAGAGATTCTCACTTTTTGAGAGAAAATTTCATGCAGATGGGAACTGAATGTTTTGTGTGTTCTGAAATTGATGAAGACTTCTAAGTCTGACACTTTTCAGGATAAGCCTATGACCTAGGTTGATGATTCTCTACCTTTTTAGACTGAGGGCACCCCCCATAACTTGTCTGAATTTAGCAGCACCTCATTTCTGAAACTGTCAGCTTTTCATATTTGTAACAGGGTGCCTTCTCAGGGCCGATCTACCAATGCCCCACCCACCTGTTTCTGGGCCTGCCTTCTCACCTGCCATGCCTTGTTATTAATTAATTAAGATGTTAATTAGGTGGGAGCTGCCCATTTCTTGCCCCGATGCCAGGGGGTGCTATCTACGGCTCCGTTCCTCCCCTACACCACAGCCCAAGGCTCGCAGATGGTATCCACTCTTCTTATCGTCACCGACCACCATACAGGGCCCCAGAATCTTCCAGTCAGGACCCCCCTAAGATCCCTCCATTCAGGTGGCCTACTCCGCCTTCATTCAGGGCTGCCTAGTTCCCTGAAACTATTTCTCCTCTCGGGTGTGGTCCCCCTGGGACCTTCGGCCACACAGGCCCTGGCCTTGCCTCCAAGGCCAGTCGGGACCCCAGGCCCTCAGGTCTGGGCATTCCTCATAGTGGGCCTCTGGCCCTTTTGACCATTCTGGTCCTGGCCCCAGCACTGACCAGTCAAGGGTACTCTACATCAGGCCTCTGCCACTAGCCCCCCTCACTCTCTTGGGTCCGTCTTCTGGCCCCTACTAGGGGTTAACCCACCCGGTTGTGGGAGCTGGGGTTAAGGGGCCCTGACCACCCTCACCAGGGTGGTAACTGGCCTGGCATTTCTTTGGGGCTCCTGCACCACTGGGAGCCTCACCAGGCCACCCACTCCCAACAGGGTGCAGTTTTAGACCATGCCCAGGACCAGGAGCCTCAAAACCATACCCTTAAGCCCCTGCCCTTACGTCCAAGATGATATATGAAGCCTTACAGCCAGCTGATGTTGCTGCCTGGCCTGCCAGCAGGGAACTGAACTGTTTATATAGGCAGCCAGGGATCTAAAATGGCTGCCGCAATCAAGCACCTGCTGGCTGCTTGGCTGGGCCCTTGAAGTGGCAGGCGCTACCAGTGCCCTGCCACACATATTCCTTCACTGTCCCATTAAAAGTGTTCTTTGTATGTATTTATTCCCTTCAAGCCATTTATAGATTCATAAATGTTAGAGGCTGGAAGGACCTCACAAGATAATTGGGTCCAGCTCCCTGCACTTGGGCAGGAAAGACTGCTTTCTTTCACACCGTTTCAGCCACATGACAGGAGCTTTTAGGATTCAAGACTAACCAAATTATTCTAGGTCCCATTGGAAAAGCACATGGGACCCTGCTTAAGTCTGTAGGTGTTCTCTACACTCCTTTGCCAGGAAGAATCATTTTTCTTGTTTAATGAAATGTTACTGAACTTTGTCAAGAACGTTTGGCAGACACTGACATCCATGTCCTCAGTTTCAAGGAAAGCAGACAAAAATGGTACAATGTCATTTAAGACAACATAATTCAAATAGAACATTACCTTTAGAGAACCAAACCAAATAGTAACAGAGTGTCACCTCAAATATTTGTAACTTAAGGCAGCTTAAAGCAGCATTTCCCCAAGCTGAGGGGCCTGCTTCTTCTCTTGAGAATACCTTTATTTGTCCCCATAACTGGACTTTTTGGTAGTTGCCACAGCTAACAGAAGGAATAAAACAAACCTGCCAAAAATGATCAAAGCTAGAAAGAAGTCAAAACAATTGGATCTGTTGAGTTATGAATGTAACTTCTGCAAGCGTACAGTGGTTGCATTTCAGGTATCAGGCTATGGGTATGCCTTTATGTGCCTTTAACATGCAGCAGTAAACTGCAGAACTTATTGCTCTGCAGTGCAGGGGTTCTCAAACTGTGAGTTGCGACCCCCTGGGTGGTCACAAGCAACTTAAAAAGGGGTCGCAAACTTCTTTTCCCTCCCCAACGCGCAAACACTCTGCCTGCTTCCCTCTCCCAGCGATGCTCTTGGACTTGCCCACATTGGAAGTGTCTCTTTTGTTTCTAATCTCGGCATATACAGGTTAGTGAAGCTCAGTATTTATCTGTCAGCAGTTCAATTGACTGTGTGCGAGTGAGTGAAAGTTTTTTCAGCAGTTGCCACTATAAAGAGCAAATAATGATCAAAAATAAATGTGGGGCACAAAATGAGACTGACAGTCTCGAAAATAAAGCCCGAGTTTGAAAAAGTAAGCAGTACCAAGTGAGCTCATCCTTCTCATTGAAAACTATTGACAGTTTTAAATTTGACAGTGGGGTTTTTTTTTCAGTGAAACAATTTTGAATTTTGTAAACTTTATAAAGTGTTTTTTGACAAATATATTTAATTTAATATACAAAGGTAAATGTGCTTTATTTATCTCCTACTTAATCCTAGTTAAATCAATAGCTTTAGTCATAGGGGGTCACGTGAATTTATATATTATTTTACGGGGTCGCGGTATCACAAAGTTTGAGAACCCCTGCTATAGTGTATTGCACCCAGGCACATGGTTTACATGCTCACCAGGACCTCAGCTCATTGAGCCAGGTTGCAGCTTCCCTGTCTGACAGGGGACCCACGGGGGTCAGCCTGCCAGCCTGGGGCTGCTCCAACTGGGCTTAGTGTGCTGCAGAGGGACTGGCTGGGGTACGAGGGTGCTTTAGTGTGGGGCTAGCTGGCAGGCAGCCCTTACACTGAAGCACCCTTGTACCCCAACCAGTCCAATCAGCATCTACAAGTACAACCCAGGTGCGGCATTTATTAGTTTCATGTGCTCTAGTAGGGGTGCACGTGTAGACGCTGAGACGTTCATATGTCTTGTGTAAATGCACCCTCTATTTCTAAATTACAGTGGAATCCAGTTAAACTGCAACAAAAAGAATAGTCATGGATTTAAATTTCTAATTTTGAAGGAAGGTCACATTACAATATCTTTAGAAGCATCTCTAGATGCTTCTCGTGCTGTCTCACAGTTTATGCCATCTGATGATCATGGTAAAAAGTTATGTTTGCATCTTGGAAAAACTCCAGTCCTTGTACAAGGGGCATCCCTATTGTAGACAACTGCAAGCCAGCCTTTTGATGATCTGTATATACCTTTACCACATGCTGTTCATAGTTCCATAGTTGTTAGAGGCTGGAAGGAACCTTACAGATCATCGGGTCTGGACCATCTGCACTTGGGCAGGAAAGATTGGTAGAATTGTATTTGGCCATAATGTATTACAGTTTATTTTTAGGCAGACTCCAAACACTGATCAAGAATAGAATATACATACAGACATGTACTGAAGAAGAAAGAAGTGCTGCTTACCTGTAAAGTTACTGGAGTTATTTGAAGTTTTGTCCATATATTCCATGAGCAGTCCCCTTTCCTGTATTGTTATGACAGGAAAAGAACTGAGTAGTTGTTGGACTTGCACTGACCTTTATGCCTTTGACAGAAGAGCACAAGGGGCATTTATACACATACCTTGGTCTGTGCCGACACACTGGAAATCCAGCACGTCGGAGCAGACTCAATTAATCCAGTCTGCAGGGCACGCAAGCTGCGTCACATACATTTATATAAACAGCAAAATGCACGTCAGCACACAGAAATAGGTGGTGGTGTGCTTTTGAACCAAAACACCTTCAATGTGTTTTAGTTCAAAAGTGCACTGCCGCCATTTTCTCAGCACTGATTCATATTATTTTGCCATTTATACAAATGTATGTGCCACAGCACCGAGCGCTTTTAATAGCACCTGGCATTGTAGTGGATACAGGTGTATAAATGCCCAGAGATCCTCATAGCTCAGATGTGGTCCCAAGGGACAGTAATAGCCAAATAATTCTGCCCTCAAATGCATGAAGCACATGTGTACTAAGAGTGGACAAGACATCTTAAAGAAATCTATTGTAAGATAACATTTTCCATTCAACCTTGCACACCTGCGGTACTGACTTGCTGCTTTTAGTTTCCACCTAACCTAAATCCTCACACAAAAACACAGTGCACAAAAACACACAAATTTATCAACTGGGGAAGCCCTTTAGCTCCAAATTAGGACAGAGTGGGTTTACTTTGTCAGATGGGGTCTTGTAATAAAGAGAAAGCCCCTGTTTCTTCTCAAGAAAATCACCTTTTTGGAAAGCTAGACAAGAGATTAACTAGCATTCATACCAGACAATGGTAATGGGGAAAAAAGATACTCACCCCTGTGAGGAGAGGGGTCGACTGGACTCCAAAAATCTTTGAGCTCTTGCTGGGTACTGGATTCCTCAAATCCTTCTCCTCCTCCCCACATCTGTAAACACAGCTACTGCAGCCATTTATTCATTCAGTCGAAAGGAGGGCTGGAAAAGTATTAGCTTCATGACTCAACCTTGAGGTGCCTTGAGATCCTTTTAAGGATGGCATGCAGTGTTAGTGCTGTTATTTTAGACATGGTTCATAAGTTAAACCAGAGATATCAAATAGGAATCCATAGTTGTGAGTCTTTCTGAGCTGTTTGCAACAACAAAACTGCTCTAATATTTTTCTGTAGGCAAAACAAGTAAAAACTAAGCGCTGGCATTTTCCAAGGGGTGCCCTCAGTGTAAAAAGTTTGAAAACCATTGGACTAGATAATATCTGATCTGTGGTATGATGGTTAGAATGTTATGCTGGCAAGTCAGCAATGCCCAGGTCCAAATTCCTTTTGGGTGAGGGTTGCCTAGAATTTAGGACTTTTGTTTCCTAGGTGAGTCTTTTGCTCTCAGCTATTGAGAGCAAAAGACAGGAAAGTCCTCTTCCTCCCCTCCCCCCACTCCCAGTCTACAAGGTTATGTAGACCTAGGGCATATGTGCCCTAGGTACTACTGCAGATGTCCACTCTGTGTGCCTAGGTGGTTGTCTATACATGCAGGGCAGTGCATTCAGGAACAGAATTCCACTCACTATACATGTAAGTGCCAAAAAAATGCTATGTAGTTGACCAAAAAATGGCCATTTAGTGATCAGAAAAGAAACAATGTCACCCTTTAATGTGTAATGCAACAGAGTTCTTACATGCAAGTTCCTACATTCTTGTGTTTCTCAAATCTGCATAAAGGATGGTGGAAAGGCATGAAGCAGTTTTTTCCTGCCAAGTCAGCCGAGCATGAAGAAACCCCTGTTCGCTATAGCAGCAGTGAAATAGGTCACTTGAGACCAAGAGATGTCCCAACCATGTTGCAAACAGAGTCTGCAGGTACCTGGGGTTTTCTTTGCTTGTTTTTACCTGTTTCTAGGCTAAGAATTCTGAATAAGTACATCAAATATTTTTATACTTTGTATCTGTTCTCTGTATGCAAAATCTATATAACTTCTGTTCTATCCTAAGGATAAAGAATCTGAAAATAAAGTTTAGCTTGTGATTACAGGTGCCATTTGGAGAGATGCAGCTATTTGTTGAGTGCAGCAATTTTGAGAATGCAGTTTCTGCTTCTTGATAATCTTTGCTGCCCCAAGATGCTAACAGAATTTGGGATTTAAATGATTAACACTTAAATATCTTAACATGTAAATCTATTAATGGTTTTTGTGAAATAGAGGCCAAGACATTGCATACATAATTCTAAAGTTCCTCTACAGGCACTGAACAGCTTGAAGTATTTTCAAGTCTCTTACAGAGGAGAAACTAATAGAGGCACAATGTGTCTAACCAGGCTGCTCTTAGTGTAATGCATTAAAAATAATTTAATCACCTTTTGACATACAAGTAATAAAACTAGCATTTAACTGGGCTCCAACCTGTGTGGGAGTGGGGGTTAGATTATTCTTCCTTTTTGTTCAACTGAATATTCTCTTCCCACTCTTCTAGCTTCCTTTTCTCTCTCTGCTTCCTGGCTGACCTCCCCCCTTGACTCCTTTTTTTCCTTTTCTTCTGCCCAAGAATACCTGCAAGGAACACACAATTTCTTATGTAGTACCAAGATTAAATTTCAGTTTCTTTACAAATAGAAGGGCACAGAAGAGTGAGAGAAGGAATTGCAAATAATTAATGTACTGCAAAAATGTCCTGGCATTATTCATGCAAATAACATTATTTTGAAATCAAGTTGATTACAGGCTGATTTTCCCCTTATGTACAACATTGTCTTCCAGTGATGGCAACCTGTATCAGGTTTATGTCCATTTGAATTACCCTTATATGGCGCTGCCCCCATTCAGAATTTCAGCAATACCTGGAAACCGATTATTTTGTATCATTCACTTTCTTCAAAGGAGTTGACAAGAGAAGATAGCTTATTTCTGACCAGGCAAATGAGTGACCTGTAAGGGATCTTTTGCAGGAAATGAGGAGTTAAGTAGGAAGGGCATCCAGAAATGGTGAAAGGCTGTCTAGGACATGTCAGGGGAAGCCCTGATTTTACCAGATGCCAGTGTCTAGTTTGGTCCCTTTAACTGTCCAAAACTTAGTCTTCATTACTCCTACTGTAGTGTAACAGAGACATTCCTTAGCTACCTTGAGTAGTGGCAGCACTCTATCTGTGTGATCTGTGGGAGATCTGCACTATAATGAGCATGAACCCTTAAGTGGCTTCTATTTTGTCCCTGTCCTGTCTTGCTTTTCACCTAGCCAGTCCCTGTGTGCTCATCCCATGCTCCCTCACCCTGAATCTCTTGTGTTCAGCAATTGTTGCTGCCAGCTAAGAAGTCTGTACTGAACATAAGTAAAATTTTATTTTGAAAAGCCAATGGCTTACCCAGGTGGCACAAACCACGTCCCTGACACCTAAGTCTGGGAAGGGGATGAGCTGTTTTTGCTGTACCTTCCAAACAATACAGCCTTAATTTCTCAGCATGGGAAATTTTCATCCCATAAAGGTGAAATTGGGTTTATCATTATAAGTATTCAGATTTCACTATAGGCACAGCATCTGTTTACTATTGGGCTCCTTTGCAGCTTCCTCCACAGTATCTGACACTGGAAGCACCCACTAGCCTGACACAGTGTGATATTTCCTGTGGTTCACATGATAAGTTCTGTCTTTAATATCACGCCACTATATTGGAGTTGGTAATTTTCCTATTAGTAACTGTTTTCTTCTTTTGGGGTGTTGCAGAGTATGCTCAACCACTGGTAGGTGGAGTTGTTGGCACTATTCATCAAAGATCAACCTTTAAGCCAGAAGAAGGAAAAGAAGCAAGTTATGCTGATTTGGATCCTTATAATTCACCCGTGCAAGAAGTCTATCACGCTTATGCTGAACCACTGCCTATAACTGGACCAGAATATGCAACCCCAATAATCATGGACATGTCAGGTCATCCTACAGCTCCTCTGGGTGTCTCTTCAATTTCTACTTTCAAGGCTACAGGGAACCAAGCCCCTCCCATATTGGGAATTTATAATAAACTTTTATCTAGGACAGACAGTTCATCATCCGCACATGCATTGTATGACACACCTAAGGGGATGCTGGGACCAGGCTCCTCAGATGAACTGGTATACCAGGTACCACAGAGTGCACCACATTCCACAGGAGCCAAGGATGAACTGAGTTAGGAAAGGTTACAGTTTTTTAAAACAAAATTCTTTTATGGTGGCTATGAATTTACTTTTTTTAATCATGGTTTTTATATTGTTAGTTGTAGTAGCGTGGAGGTGGATAATAATGTGATATCTGTAGTCTGGGAAACTAAGACTCCTGCCATTTTTTATGAGAATATATACACCCTCAATTACTGCTTGCCTGGTCAGAAAATATGGACACCAGTATAGTACTCTCTTAGGCAGGAGGAAATGAACTTCCACAATGAACTGCAAAAGTTGTCATGCTGCATGGACATGAACAATCTATTTGGAAAGATGATTTTTATAGTACAACTATCAGTAATTTAAGTCTGACTGAAAGTAGTGTTATACAAGATTCACCTTCCCACTTAAAGCACATTTCAAATATTCACATATAATATTGAAAAAGCAAGTTGATTGATATAATTGAGGACTGCTCCTGCTCGTATTGACCTCAATGGCAAACTCCCACTAACTTCATTCCCACTAACTACAACTCTTTTAGGAGCAGTCCTATCTTTTGTTCATGACAGAGAAGCAACTCAGGCCTGCCAATCTGGATTTATTTTAGCTTCTTGGGAGAAAACAGTTTCCTGCCCCTTTTAACTCTGAAAGGTGAAATAGGGTAGTTAAGTAGTGGTTTTTCTTTATTCTGTCAAATCTTCCCAAGCCACTGAGACCTGGTCTTTCCAGGGAGAACTTTAACTTCATACTAATGGATTGTGTGCACAGACTTGAGTCTTCTAATTAGTTGCTTTTTAGTTCACACCTTGCAAGTGAAGACTACTGAATAATCTGAATTTGAATCCTCCAAGGTTTCCAATTGCCTCTACAGTTGGTTTGACAACTTGGTCATTCTTTGCAGAACTGCCAGGTCTACAAGGGTGCCTGCCTTACCAAGAACTCTTAGGGATTCTTTCATCAGGAGGCAAGTATGGTTGATAGTTTATGAGATTAAGGGATGTATTTTAAAACATGCAGGTGTAAGCTTATGAACACCCAGGTAAGTGCACAGTGTTCATGCATGTACCCAAGCACAAACCCCGGTTTGCCACCATGGTACACTTCAGGGTTACTTACATGTAAGTGTGCGTGTACAATGTGGCACAGGCACATCAAAATTTTGGCTGTAGAGCCTTAAATATAACCACTTTGTCGTTAAAAGGGTGGAAATGACCAAAGCTTAACAACAAAATTGGCACTTGTTTTAAAGTGTATCAGCTTAAAAGCAATTATGTAACCAAGTGGATTCATCATACACTTGACTGGTCTTACCTTTCTCTGCAGTATATTAGTTTTAGGTTTTGACCTATACTGAATTATCTTCTGAAAAAGATTTACTGGTATCTATAGTAGTTGAGATTAGATAGAAAGCCTTGTTTAATTGTGCCAGATGCTATTTAAAACAATTTAGAGTTGTTATACTTAATTTTTAATCAGTCATATTTATCTTGTAGAAAGAAAGCACAGCTGCTGCTTTTACATCGGTTAAGCAGAAACAGTGAGTAGTGAAAAACCTCTTTAAATGGCTCTTTTTATTTTAATAGCGTGATGGCACTGTTGGGAGAATGCTGAAAGAATTTATGTATGTGACATCAGTGTATACACATTAGCCCAGTTTTATGGACGTTGGTAGACTTTCTTTTTTTGGACACACAATTCAAATAAGACTTTATAGCTCACAGTTTGTAGAGTAGACTTGTAGCATCCAGATATAAATAAACTAATGCTGACAAAGGTGATTATGCCCCTCACAAGTCTTAGAATATTTTAATCAATTATACTTAGGGTAGTACTTCATTTTTTCCCTCAGTTTAGGATATTTACTCTGACTTCCCCTTGATATTTAGTTAGTTATTATGAAAATCCTGTTTTTGTGGTACCAAGACTTTTCACTGTGTCATACTAAACAGTTTGAATTTGGGATTCTATGCACTGTGCTGCTTAAGGCCTGATTCTACAAACACAGGACTAATCCTGCTAATGAGAATAAGATTTTGCAGGATTGGGTTCCTCATGCCTAAATGTGAATATTTTAAGCTTGAATGGTATTCTAGAGTCAGTCTTCTGCTGAAAAGTATCAAACCCCATTATGGTGAAACAGCAGTATGATATTTATTTATTTTAAGAGAATTGAATCTGTAGCTCTTAAGTGCATCTTACTTTCTTGTAACTTGATAAGTAATAATGTTCTCTAAAACCCCTTCCCTACTGTTCCAGATGCTTTGAAATTTAATTTTTTGGATGAAGTTTGATTAAACTCTTTTTAAAAGAAAAAAGGATTATTTTAGCGATTGAGGGGAGGTGAAGAGAGAAAAAAAAATGAAAAGAGAATTGTGCATAGTGTACCCAATTCCTGTTGGAAACGTCATTGGTCAGTCAAGTAGTGGTTAATGGATATGACTTATTAAAAATCCCTTCATTTCTAACTGGGCACAAATTTTAAATAACAGTTCAGAAACAGTAGAAAGCATCCAGTGCAATAAGTCTGTTCATAAAACAAGTTGTTGAAGTCGCTTTGCTTTCTGAAATCCATATTTATCCGACCTATGCTGTTACTTTGTCTTAAAAGCTAAGATTAAAAAAAGAAGAAAAATCTTCAAGGTTTAGAAAAACTTGGTACAAATCAGTGTTAAGACTGAAATCAAATTGATTTCACTACTGGCACTGTGTATGGAATGAGTTTTTGATCAATTCCTGCAAAATAGCGATTTCAGTCAAGGTCAGCGTAATGCAAGTTCCGTTCCCTAAAACAAAAGGGTGTAAAACTTTGTTCCTTTCGGAGGATGAAATGCTGGAAGTTGGAGATAGTGCAGTTTGGTTCACAGTATCTAGGACCAGTTGAGATATTCACTGTCTCATTTTCTTAAAATGTTTTAAATGAGGTATTAACCCTCCCTGCCTCCCCCATGGATCAAGCTTGAGTTAACATCCTGTATTGTAGATCTTGATTGCTGAATGTAAAATGCGTGATATAAAAGGCATTCATTTTTAGATTTAATTCTGGCACTATCCCATGTACAACACAAAGGTACGTTTAAGGTCTTTCTTTTAATTATTGAAAAGATAGATACAACGAAATGCATATAAATATTGTTTGAAAATGGGAATGGCTTGAGTGTCGGTTATATTCTCCCAGAATGTATTTTTCTTACCTCAGCATGTATTGTAGTTGGTCTGTATTTGTATATGTTGCTAGAATTTAGATTGTATAATAAGAAGATTTTTATGTATTTTAAATAAATTGTACATACGGATCGTTCTTCAGAGTCTGTATCCTTTTCTTAAGTTCTGCAGGATTAGTATACTCACACCTTACACTGACAACTGCTTCAAGGTCTGTACCTCTTCTAGTTACTCTTTTCTCCATTCCTACAAGCGTAGGGGTATGTTATTTTAGGCACAGCTGTGACCACATGGAAGAACAGCCCTGGTCTCCCATTCCTGCCTTGAACTAATTTGTTTCAAGCTTGCATTTATCTGCTACCCACATTAGCCATCTGCTGTGGCTGCCTAATAGCTGAATGGCACAATATTAAAAATATTTTATTTAACCTACAAATAAGATCTGCTCTAAGACAGCAATAAGAATTTATCCAGAGCTGATTTAAACCAGGACGTGTAAAGCCTGTGTATGCAACTTCCCAATACAGTAGTGACAACAGCGGTTAAATTTTAACATACAATATACTTGTATATTCATTTTTCCAGGAACATCTCAATTAAGCATGATCTTTAGGGAAAAACATTTATATTCAAAGGCACAAACATGACTTAGAGTAAGTTTATATATTTATATTTTATACACACACTATAAACTTTCAACTGAGCTTTCTAAAGCATTGCCTAAACATAAAGACTATGATTTTCCTTTTGTCCTTTCATATACCCTGTAATCAAATTCCTAGTAATTTTGACTTTCCTGCTCATAGTAATTCATAAGTTTTAGTATGTTTTCAACACTAGCCACGCACTCTAAGAATGTATATACATTTGTCACGATTTAGCCCTGTTTTAGTTTAAATTTTCAGAGTTCAAGGGATGTTTAAATGAAGCTTATGGAAATATTTTCATGATTTTGTTGCATCTTCAGTATTCTATTTGTCTTGTTTATTAATACATCTTTTCAAGTATACAAGTTACCGGTCTT